CCTTTAAATACTGGACTAACATTAGCCAACTTCCAATCTTCTAACACTCTTCCAATACTCAATGATCTATAAAAAATATTAGTTTGCGGTTCACAAAATCTTTAAGTTCCTTTAAAACTCTAAGATAAAAGTTGTCTGGTCCAGAGGAATTATCAATTTTGTTGTTTCCCAACTTTTCTCTTACAATTTTAGAACTTGAAATAATATATTTTACATCAATATTTTTCCCATACATTGAGTGCTCTGGTTGAGGTATATACTAGTAACTTCCTTTGTAAAAACTGAAGAGAACATATAAAAATGAGTTTACCATCTCTTAATCTTCCGAGATCAGCACCCCACTATCATTTTTAAAAGACCCAATTCCCATCCTAACATTTTGCTTACCATCATATACCTACAGAATTCCTTGTTGTTTGATTTAACTCTCTCAGCCAACCCTTTTTCATATACAGTTTTGCCCTTTTAAATTCCTTTTTAACCAGCTCTCTTGATTTCCTCTTCATTATTTCCAGTAAGTTTAAATTCCTTGAATTTCTTATGTTTATCCCTAATACGATCTTTTAAGCCTTTACCAAACCATACTGGCTTATACTGCTCTGTTGCCCTTTTTTCTGGAGGGAATATGTATGTTCTGTAGGCATACCAATTTTTCCCTAAATGCTTCCCACATCTGTTCAAGATCCCCTCCCAACTCTTTAGTTCAATCTACAGAAGCCAAATCATGTCTCATTCCATCAAAATTGGCTTTCCTGATATTTGGAATCAGGATATTATTATTCTTCAATTCTACATGTTGTAAAATCCCACACCTAATAGTGCAAAGGTCGCTTGTACTTAAATGCTCACCAACCACAACTCTATCATATTCACATCGGAAACTAATATAAAATCTAATATAGCTTCCTCTCTCGTAGGTTCCATCACCAGTTAGTGTATAAAAGTATCCTGAACATTTTCCCAAAACCTATCCCCCTCATTGTAAGACTCAAAATTTGGTACTACTATAGCATGCAGTCTACAAAGATATTTACACTATAGCGTGCAGTCTACACAAATATTTACACTATAGCATGCAGTCTACACAGATTTTTAAACTATAGCATGCAGTCTACACAGATACTATCATCTTCAACATTTGAACTTTCTTTATTTGCAACTGGCACCATTTATTATAAATAATGCTTTTAAACCAATAAGGTACAAAATACCATTACATAACTTTTTAGGGCAAATATAATCCGAATGAAATAAATTCCAACAATCGAAACTAGCACAATTACAACCTAAATTTAAGGTACTCTTTTGGAACTTATTAGATTATTATTTTTTGCTGAACAAAAACGTGGATACATATATAAATTATTTAGCAAGAAATTATGTTTTAGTGAATCATTAAAACGATGATGTTGATAGTATCTGTGTAGACTGCACACTATAGTGTAAATATCTGTGTAGATCACACACTATAGTGTAAATATCTTTGTAGACTGCACGCTGTAGTAGCACCCAAAATTTTCCCAGACAATACCCCTGAAATTTTAAATTTCCCACAATAACAACATCTTTTTTCTGCTACCATTCTGATCTCATTAAACAATTTTTCATTAACTTCTGCATTCTTACCTGGTGGTCTATAACAAATCCCAATTACAAGACTTTTTCCTTTATATCCACTAACACAAACTGACTCAACCTGTGATTTTTCTTTATGCTCTAACTCAACAGCAGGTTGCAATTCACTCCTCACATATAAAGCTACTTCTCCCCCTTTTTCAATACTCTATCTCTAGTAAATAAGCTATATCATGGTATTTCAAAAAAATGTCCTTCATCAAAATTGTTCAAATCCAACCAAGTCTCAGTGATACCCATAATATCAAAATCCTCAGTTTCCACAACTGCTTTGAACTCATCAATTTTATTTCTAATACTCCTAGCATTACAATAGTAACAATTAATCATACATTTTAAAATATGTTTATGTTTCATCCCTGCTTTACATGTTTTCCTGTCAATTATATTTCCTGTTTTGCTAATATCATAGCCCTCACCTCTGTCTAGCCTTAGTTTAAATCTATCACTACAGCTGAGTTAATAGCCCTTGCTAACATGCTAGCCCCTGCCTTGTTTAAGTGTAAGCCATCCATACCAAAAAGATTAACCCTCCTATTAAAATTATCCCACAAATCCAACCAGCCTTTTGCTCATCCCTACATACTGATCTAAGCCTGGTATTCAATCCTAATGACCTATTTAGCATACAGAAATTTAAGTTCTTCATTAACCCCCACCACCATTTCAAGCAATTTACATTTCTCCCTTTCCATCTCTGCAATTGTACTCCAAAAACCCTCCAACTTCTCCTCTAACCAGCAAACCCTGCTAATAAATTGTATATCCTGGCTACTAGCCTTCCTAAAAGTATACTTTAACCCAATGTTTATAAATAAAACTCTCCAGACATCTTTCACACTTCATCAACTGAGAACCCTTAGTGGCTAGATTATTCTCAACCATAGCTGATAATTATATTGACTGTAACTTTAAGCGTAATGAAGTTAAGATTATATTTAACATACTATTACTAGTATTACTATTGGTACTAATGTGTAACAATCTCAATCTAGCTTCACTTGCTTACTATATTAAATATTCAACACTAATCTCTATATATAAATAATAATATAATGGGTTATAAATATTAAAAGCACACTCCTATCTTTAACCAAAATTTTACAATCAAAATTTAACGTTAAGCATAATGATAATAGTAAACAATTAACTAGCTGTAATTGTAATCCAATTTAAACTTAATTTAAATACAATTAAATGGAATATGTCGAATGGACGTGTTTCAATTTTAGGATATTCTGTCGATGATAATTATATTAATTCTGAAAGCAAAGGTGAAAAACTATTCTCAAGACTGTGTTGTCCTTGCTCCACTAAAGGTGTTTGCATAATTATTCACAAATACGCAGGTTGTAGTCTGTATTTGGTTTTGTAAGGTCCTTCATTTCCATTTAATACAGATATTGATTGCATAAATCACTAAGTTAGAGTTGTGATTTCTAATTATTGAAATATATATATATATAAATCACACACTTATTTAATATATAGAAGTAAGACTGCCATTGTTCATACCACTTTTATTATAGACAATTGCTGCATGCACTCTTTCGCTGTAGTGACACCCAACAATATGACATATAGCAAACTGTTGTCAGGACAACATAGTATGCTTACGACCAATGATATGACGTAAAGAAACATGTTACCAGGGTAACCAAAAGGCTGTTTACAGCCCCCATTCATCATTTTTTGACATGCTGTGGGTTCAATTTGAGCAGCCATATCTATGTATCAGTTTATGAATTATGTAGTCTGCAACACCAAGTTTATTGTATACCCTTGTTTCAATCGATTCAATGGCTAAATAGAATTTTAAATGGTTTTAAAGTTTTATATGTGTGTTTTGAAATAGTAAATGCTTCTTGATCCAATGAAACCAGCCAGACCAAAGTAGAGCATGAAGAGAGCTAATGTTGGATCACTGGTCCTTACTACTCAAGCTAATTCAAATCAACTCACTGGTTTCAGTTTTACCATTTGCTCACTTGTCACTGATAAATGGCAAACAATGGCTTTAGCAATAATTGCATTAGTTTTTAAAGTTGATTTCAAACTTGCGAAAGTATGGTTGCCTTGAAATATACTATACCAATTCAGCATGTATTAGTAACGTAGATGTTTTCCATTTGTTGTTTGGTGTACAATCATTCATATGTTATTTATGTGAGCTTTATATATTCACAACTGCGATTTCACATTCACACGCTTCTGTGGCCAGGAACTATAATTCTCTGGAACTCCCTACCTTTAGCACTTATGTTAGTGGTTCTCATGTTAGTATGGTTGCCTTGAAATATACTATACCAATTCAGCATGTATTAGTAACGTAGATGTTTTCCATTTGTTGTTTGGTGTACAATCATTCATATTTTATTTATGTGAGCTTTATATATTCACAACTGCGATTTCATATTCACACGCTTCTGTGGCCAGGAACTATAATTCTCTGGAACTCCCTACCTTTAGCACTTATGTTAGTGGTTCTCAATCTTTTTCCAACTGAGAACCAGCTAGTTCAATTTCAAAATTTTATAGACTGCTTCATACAGTATTAAGGCTTTAAAGTACTTTTAATCACATTCATTTCTTTATTTAACCATATGGAAAAACTGACCAAAATCTAATTGTGGACTGGCACTTGTCCACAGTCCTGTGGTTGGAAACCACTGCTCTGAGTTACCTACAAGTATGATGGTAATCTGAAGTTAATGAAGTAATTCTAACTCTGTATTTAAGATACAACTTCTTACTCTTAGACCTACTGACCCTTTGAAGTTACTTATGGTTTGAGACTAAATTACAAATAATTAGATTGATACTAACTTAGTAAATTAGTTTGTAGCCTGGCATCATATAGTTGATCCTAAATGTTTAACAAAATACTTAGATTAGAACATACAGTATACACGGAGAAACCAAGAGGTTGTAGAGGCAGCAGGTTGAAGCCTGTTAGTGTTAATAATTTTAACTTAACTTGAAGTTAAACCACAGTAATGTCCTCTGCTACCTTTTACTTTTACACAGTATTTTAAATTTAATCATTTCATTTTAAGTTTATAACTTTGTAGGATCATGTCTCTAGCCCCAGAGATGCACCATATTTAAGGTCTACATGTACTTTAACCACCCCCAAATAACTTTTGCTTTCTCCGCCTGCGTAGTACTAGCAGTAGAAGGCCTAATGTGACCATGGTAATATTACTATTAGTATTACGGCCTAGCCTATTTCTTCAATTTTTGAAAGTGGATCTGAGCGCAAGTTTATTTATTACAAAATACGTTTATAATACACGCAATATGGCTCAGTTCAATTACACAATTTAATTCATCAAAATACTAAATATGTAATAAAATTGTCTTACTTGGTAATCACGGTTCTCATGAAAACGAGAAAACCTTTCCGCCATTTTCTATGTTGCTTTTGTCGCCCTTAACTGTTTACTTTCATTCACGTTAGGGGGAATGGCAAGGCGATTAACAAATTATACCATCCTGAAAATAAATCTGGAAATAACTAAATATCTTTATGTCTGTTGCATTTGGAAAAACAATGTTGTGATATGGCAAATTCTATTTCTATTTTGTCATGATTTTGTTTTCCGTTCATTTATTATCCTTTCTATCGTTTAGTGCAATTGTCAATTTATAGTTACATTAAAGCGTTAACTCACCTTCTATCCAGATCACGTTGATTTTGAGTATGTATGTTTTATGAAACTGTGAGTTAAGTTTGAGGTTTTGTCCTGATAGTAGTGTGAAAATGTTTTGACAATAGTTGGTGGAAATTTGTTAGAGTGAGTGAATGAATGTTTTACAAAGTTTATTTATTCATCTATGTAGTTAGTTGAGCAAAGTCTTGGAGCTGGGTTTATGAGTGTTTTTAACACATTGTTGCGTCATCGAGGTCACGTGACTGGTGTAGCGCCCTCTATTT